TACGTCGACGACATGATCGTGAAGAGCAAGCAGGCGACCACCCATGCGGAAGACTTAGAGGAAGTTTTCAAGATTATGGAGAAGTACAACCTTCGATTGAATCCGAAGAAGTGCACGTTCGGAGTTCAAGGCGGCAAATTCTTGGGACATATGGTGAGCAGGCGCGGTATTGAGCCCAACCCTGAGAAGGTGCGCGCCATCCTTGACATGGAAGCTCCACGAAATGTCAAGGAGGTGCAGCGCTTGACCGGTAAGTTGGCTGCGCTCAGCCGCTTCCTTTCCAAGGTAGCAGACCGAGCCGCTCCGTTCTTCCAAGCTGTGAAGAAGTCCCGAGGGTTCGTGTGGACGGAAGAATGCCAACAATCCTTTGAATCCCTCAAGTCTTACCTCCTCTCTCCTCCGGTTCTCGCGAAGCCCGAAGCGGGGGAGACGTTGTCCTTATATTTGGGAGTTTCACCCAAAGCTTTGAGCTCGGTCCTAGTCCGAGACGAAGGTGGAGCTCAGCACCCGGTGTATTATACGGCAAAGACGCTGAGGGGTGCCAAGCTCAGATACTCTGTAGCCGAAAAGACGGTCCTCGCCGTGGTCTCAACCGTGCAGCGTCTAACACCCTACTTCCAAGCTCACCCGGTTCAAGTGCTCTCCCAACAGCCCATTGGTGCGCTGCTCAGGAGCCCGAACGCGCCTTCGCGCATGTCCAAGTGGGCGGTGTTTCTTGGAGCTTTCCAGATCGAATTCAAGCCAAGGCCAGGGATCAAGGGCCAAGCGCTAGCTGACTTCGTGGTGGAGTGCACCGCTCGGGAGGAGCCGAGCCCAGAAGAGCCGGAAGCCGATGACTGGTGGATAGTTTTTACCGACGGCTCCTCCGCCGCCAAAAACTCGGGGGGTGGAGTGGTAGTCATCGCTCCCGAAGGCTTCAGAGCATACTACTCAATTCGATTCGTTTTCAATGCATCAAACAATGAAGCGGAATATGAAGCGCTCCTGTGCGGGCTACGCCTAGCAGCCGGGATGAACGCAACAAAGCTAAGGGTAAAATGTGATTCAAAGCTGGTGGTTGGCCACGTCTCGGGTGAGTTCGAGGCGAAGGACGAAAGAATGAAGAAGTACAGAGATACCGCTCTAGAGTTGCTTAAGAATTTCACCGCATATAGTGTGGAGCAGATCCCTCGGGCGGAGAATGCCGAGGCGGATATCTTGTCGAAGCTGAGCTCAGATACGCCCGAGCATATCAGGCGGATGGCGAACGTGGAAGAATTGTCCGAGCCGAGCATCCATGCCTTCCCCGTGGGGATGATCTGCGCTCGGCCAAGAGATTGGATGGACGACATAGTCGCCTTCTTGAAGGATGGCGCCCTCCCGGACGACGCGGTAAAGGCCAAGTTGGTCCGCACTAGGGCGCCCGGGTACACTTTGGAGGGTGAAAAGCTATACAAGCGAGCATACAACGGTACGCTACTCAGGTGCCTCCGACCAGCTGAAGCGGAGCAAGTCATGGAGGAGGTGCACGCGGGGATCTGCTTCGCCCACCAAGGAGCCTACGCGGTATCAAGGAAGATAACCCTCCAAGGATATTTTTGGCCAACGATTGTTAAGGATTGCGCAGAGTTTGTGAGAAAGTGCAAGGTGTGCCAAAAGTTCCAGAAGGTACCGGGGAGGCCTTCGACAAACTATACCCCCATCAGCACCGCTATCCCGTTCGCGCGGTGGGGGGTGGACCTCGTAGGTGCGCTTCCCAGAGGTACCGGGAACGTGCGATATGTCATTGTAGCCATCGACTACTTCACCAAGTGGGTGGAGGCGTCCCCGTTGGCGAGCATCACTGGAGCTCAATGCCAGAAGTTTCTCGCGAAGCAAGTCATCTGCCGCTTCGGCGTTCCCGAACACGTAATCACAGACAATGGAACACAATTCGAATCTAAGCCCTTCAACGACTTTCTCGAAAGTTGGGGGATCAAGCACAGCTATGCGTCGGTTGGGTACCCGCAGACGAACGGGCAGGTCGAGAACGCCAACCGAACGATAGTCGACGGGCTGAAGCGGAAGTTGGAAGCTTGTGGAGGGGAGTGGGCAGAGGAGTTGCCCTACATATTATGGACTTACCGGACCACGCCCCGAAGGGCAACCGGGGAAACCCCGTTCGCTCTATGCTACGGATTTGAGGCAAGGGCACCCGCAGAGATCTCCATCGCAACCCATCGGGAGGCGGTCTTTGACCCCGAGCGCAATGAGGAAGCCCTGGCAGCTGAGCTCCACCTCGTGCATGAAAGACGAGAGGCGGCCTTCATTCGGGCAGAAAATTACCGCAGGAAGGTGAAGAGCTACCATGATGGGCGCGTGCGCGCGCGAGGATTCGTTGAAGGAGATTGGGTATTACGCAAGAGAACGGTGAGCCGCCCCCTAGAAGGAGGAAAGTTTGCCAAAAATTACGAAGGCCCGTACATCATCAAAGAAGCGGTGGGTCCTTCGACGTTCCGCCTGCAGACGCCGAGCGGAGGGGACGTGCCAGGACATGGAATGCCGAGAACTTGGTTAAGTTTTATCAGTAGATCTCTTATGTACACGGACCCCAAAGTGGGAACCCGTAGATCTTTTCGGTTGAACTCAATGGAATGAAGTTTTTTGCGAAAAGAACCTGCTTGAGCACCCGCGCTCGGCGCTCCTCCTCAAGAGGGAAACTGAGTGCAGACCATACCCGGATGTTCTTCCCGGATGAAGGTCAAACA